TCTGACATCGACAGGTTTAATAAGCGAGGTAGAACTCGGAGCTCAGTCAGTTGTGTATGAACTGGCAAGCATTGCCTACTTGGTGAGCTCTTTTCTATAAATATAATCCAAAATTTACTGTTTGCTTTCAATGAGATTTAATTTAGCAACAATTTAAAAACATCTAACTTTTTGGAGTAGTTTCCCATGGGTTTCAGTGTGGCCGGCAGCGTGAGAGTTGGAAACGCTTTAGGAGCTGGAGAAACAGAGCAGGCCAAGCTGACTGCAAAAACCACCATGTTTTGTGCAGGTCAGTATGTTTCTTTCATAAATGCTACACATATCAGACACCTGTTCCAATTAATGTAACATGATATCTAAAGAAACTTCTTCAGGAACCCACACCCTACACATATAAAAGCTAAAGAAATTTAACATTCTGCCAAAATGCTGCATGACATTTGTTGCTGAAATTTGTTGTAGAAGCTGAAACAGAGTTAAGCAAAATGCTAGTTAAAATTTAAATAACAGATTAGCTAAAGGGTAGCTAAAAACTAAAATAGCTGAAAGTTAAATGAAAGCAAAAAATAATAAAAAAGATGGCTAAAAGCTAAAAGTAAAAAAGGGCTAACTAAAGGTCAAAAGTAGCAAAAGCCTATCTTAAAGCTAAAATAGTCAAAAATTAGTTACCAGCCTAGCATATAGCGGTCGATAGCGATCGACTGGTTGGGCACCCTTGATGTAGAAGTCCAGTTATATGCAGACGACACTGTTTTGTACACACATGCTAAAATGACTCAACTTGCGGCTGAGAAATTTACCAAAGCTCTGGAGGGAGTGGTTGACTGGTTAAATCAATCCGGTCTGACTTTAAATGTAAACAAAACAAGAAGTACGTTTTTCTCTAAGACTAAATTGGACACCTCAAATTTAAACATTTATATCAAGGGTAAACAAATTGATACTGTGACTGAGTTTAAGTATCTTGGAGTTTTTTTTTTATTCAAACCTCAACTACAAGAAACATTTTGAAAAAATGACACAAACTGTTAGATATAACCTAGTCTATTTTAGACATGTTAGATCTTGTTTGCCATTGAAAGCGGCCAAGAAGTGCATGCATGCAGTCATTTTTTCCACACATTTCATATCGTATTTCATGTTGGGGACAAACCAATTTGTCAGTAATAAAACCTGTAGAGTCTAGTTACAAACAGGCCCTCAAAATATTTGACAAAAAGCCCTTAAGACACCATCATTGTCAGGTTGTGCAGGAATATAACTTGTTTTCTTTTGAGAATTTTAGAGTTTTTTCAAATATGGAAACAGCATAAAAATTTTAACAGTTTAGCGCCAATCTGTTTGCAAAAAATTGTTTATTATTGTTCAGGTGTTTCTTTGCGCTTAACCAGAACATCCAGGCAGAACTGTGAAGTTCCTGCTCGGCGCTCAGCCTTTGGACAAGCAGCTTTTTCAAAGCCATTGCTCAGTGGAATGCTGCTCATGATCATGTAAAAAACCTGTAGTTATTTTGTTAGTTTTAAAAATAATCTTAAAAAATATCTTAAATCTACTCAGTGTTGCAATCACAGAATTGCATTGGGTGATCGATTGTAGAGTTTGCTTCTGGTTGTGTGCATTGGAGGGTGGGGTGGAAGTGGGCATGATTACATTTATTAAATGTATATATGCATTTTTTGGGATGTGTTTATTGCTTACTGGTGATGTTTGTTGTCTGGTGGAAATGTAGATGTCGGATTGCCCTATCGCTGGATTGGGTGCAATGTGTCAGATGTTTTTGAGGTGGGGATGTGCAGACATGCAGTTCTTTGGTTGGTTTCTGGGGTGATCATGCGAAATATCTCAAATCTACTTAATACTGAAATCACAAATTTTTCATTAGCTGTTCAGTGATATAACTTTTTATTTATGTTTGGAGAGTGGGGTGGGGTGTTTATGTATTTTTATTATTAATTGCAAAATGTTTTATTTTATATTAGTTTTATTTTTCTGTATTTTATATTTATTTAATTATTTATTTTATTTCTATTACTGTTGGATGTTGTTTTGTTTTTACTGTCTGGAGGGACCACAGGTGTAAATTAGCCTTAGGCTAAATC